TTTTAATAGATTTTATAAAAAATTTTTTTTGTTGATTATGTCCTACTATTAATGTTGATAATATCAAAAATATTTCTTTAAACTTTTTTAATTTAGGGTGATGAATATATATACAAACCAGATTGGGGTGAGCAATTAATTGAAAAACATCAATCAATTATTGGAATGTGTGACATTGCTTCAGAGACATTAGAAGTTGTCGATGGGATTCCATCACATTATTCGCCAGCACAAGTTTTATGGTCTAAAGATGGCAACGATATCTATGGTGTTGTTTTCGAAAATGAGCCTAGACGTTTAGGTTTAATTTATTGTACTAATCGAGAAAGTTATATTTTTTGTCTAGATTCTAAAGGAGAATTCAGTAAGAATTATCAATTTATTTATTTATTTTTTCAATGAATAAGTTATTTGATGTTTAATTACCAAGTTTTCTTATTAATTTTTATGGTTTTAAATTTTCAAAGACATATCATTAGTCATTTTCAAATGTTTTTTCAGAAATATTATCCGAACCTCAAAAATCAGTTCATTCTCCTCGTTTAAGTTTAGATGGAAAAAGTCTTTTCTGGTTACAGAGAGCAGTTGGAGGTGCTCATGGGGGCTGTCATCAGCTCATTAAAATGAATCTTGTCACCAAAGAGGTTAGTTTTTAATGATGTAAATTTTATCGTTAGTAATGTTTTTTTTTTTCAGTATTTACATATATATATATATATTGTTATATTCGGTTCGTTCTTTATTTTTGTAAGTAATGAACAAGCACTTAAAACTATCACAAAACTAATATTAATAAACAAGAACTTATTACAGCTGGACTAAAAATCAAATGAACCAACGCCAAGCTGTGTAGCTTGCCTATATTACTTTGGTCTTTCGTCAGTCAACTGTTTCGAACGTTTAACAATGGGAACTAGCAAACACTTGCAATAAATAAAAGAAATAGTCTTTAGAAGCTTCGCTTCTAAAAAGAACAATTTGAGTCGTCGCCAGTCTTTTGTTTATAAAAGTTGAAATGTGA